GGAGTCTCTCTAAATACATGACTACATCCTCGGCTTTAAGATCTGCTTGCAAATAATCCTTGCGGGGCGAGTGATGCCTGTTTCTACTATTATCGGGCAGGATCCTCGAGGAGTGATGTTCCATGAAATGCTCTGCAATCTCACGTGGGCTACCTGCCATGACATCGCCTGTTGGCATAAGGTCAATTAAATTCCGAAATACATTCTTATGACAAACTACAAAGTTATAGAACTTTATACTGTCTCGCAAAGGTTAATCCTACTAAATTTAATTTAGATTTATATTTCATTTAGTTACATTAATAACTGCAATGTAAATGTATTAAAGAATACAATAATTTTAGCATATTATTTAGTTTAGTAGCGCCAAGTTTTTTTAATTACAATTTTTGATTTTTTTAAATTTGTATTAATTTTTAATTTTTGTATAAATTTTCAATTTTTTATATTAATTTCTAAGTTTTAATTTTTTTATAATTGTGTTCGGTTAAAATATTTGTTTAATTTTTATTTTCAGTTGGCGCAAGTTGTTGATATCATTATTTTTGTAGGATATATTTGTACCATTTTTTGGGGTTAAAATATTTTTATAAGTTTTTATTTTTAATAATTTAAAATAACACTATTTTATAAATATATATAAATACAGTTTTTCACAAGTGGCGCATGTACTTGGCGCCTTTTTTTTACCTTTTATTTAAAAAGATAAGTTTTTATTATCTTATACATATGCACGTATATACACAACATTGTCTCTCAAGGCGTATTTGCACACTCAAGCGAATAATCGTACATGAGCGCTGCAAACGCGCCTTGAGGGACAAGATCGCTTTGCGTGTGTGCGTGTGAGGATACGTACGTGAGAGTCTGAATCTTATGAAAAATAAAAGTTCACAATTCTAGTAGACGATTATTATACCTCAGGTTTGACTGCACCAATCTTATTCAAATTGATCGCAATCGAAGGCTTGCATTTACATTGTATAAGAAAAGTACCATTAGATTTTTCATTACGGCTTTAGTTCCTGAGGTATTTTAATCGAAAGTTTATTACACGTAAAACTCCGGAAAAAGCTACTTGATAGCGCCACAGCCCCTGAACATAGGCAAATGTACATAGGCAAACCGTTCTTTTTATATACTTGGCGTCGCGACGCTACCGCGTCGCTTGATCGAGTAGTTTTGTTTTGATAGTTGTTGAAAGTGGGCAAGGTTGGTTTTGTTTGCAACCATGGAAAAAGAGCAATATCGGTTAGTGATTCGATTCCTTTTTTTTGGATGGGAAGACATGTGAGGAAATCAAAGTAAAGTTGCATGCCGTTAATTTTTGTGTCCAAACATGAGAAAATGACTTGGCGTAAAGCGGTTCACGTCAAACGAAGAGATCATCGCCGAAACAGAGGCCTATTTTGCAGAGTTCGACAAATCATATTTTTTGGATGGCTTAAAAAAGTTGGAATATCGCTGGACTAAGTGTATCGTGCTGAAAGGAGACTATGTTGAGAAATAGATAAAAATAATTTAAAAAAAATGCGTTTCCTTCCCTAACATGGGTACTTATCATACAGTCCTCGTACATGTATAACCATTACATATACAAGATAAAATTTCATTAGTAAACTTCTACAAATGGTAGCTTAAGCAATTCAGCAGCGAAATAAAGTAAACTCTTGATTATTTTTTTAGATATTTAATGCTTGAATAAAGAGCCATTATATTTTTAGGAATATCACTAAAATGGAAAATATATTAATACACAGTAAGAATCCAAATAGCCAAAAAACAGTAACAGCCAAATAACAAATTTCTTAGGTATACCATTTTGTAATATTATATATTAGATTTTAGTTATTTAAATATTTATTTGAAAAATTTCTTTTGAGAAGCAATTAATCAGTAGCGCATGCTTTAAAAAAATTTTATTTGTATTACTAACAAATCTATCACTTTTATTCGTTATCTCTAGACTATGAAAAAGACGCGATCAAGAGATAAAATTATATATTTAAAACTATATTTTTTGTTCTATTATATTATAAAGTTTATGTAAAAATATATATTCATAAAAAATATTTATATTATATATTATTGTTGAATATTTGGTGTTTTATAAAAGAATTTATGTTTGTAAGTTTCTTATTAGCAAAAGAAAACTGAGTATAGATTTTTGTTTGTCCAGGCGCGTGAACGACCTTGTCCCTAACTATATATAATATGCGCAGTCACAAATTAAATCGTGCGGCAAGAGATCAATTACATCTGTCGTATTTTTATATATTTGTAATTTTATTTACGATAAGTGTACTCAATGATCTATTTTTACAATAATTTTCGAAATACAAAATTGGTATTAGATATGCACGCGTCATTTACAATGTCATCGTTTGGCAATTGCTGCAGTTTTTTTATTGTAATTAATAGATATGGAAACACGTTATTTTTTCTTTTTTTTCCCAATGTCACATATCAAGCGATATAATAGCGTCTCGCGCCAAGTCACGCACAGCAACAGCGAGGCACCCCGGATATCGCGAGTCGGACAGTTGAGAATACCTTAGATTTTAGATTATCAGATATGAATAACGACTGAACCGATCGAAATCTTGATAGGCTCAGATTGATTGATCTTTATTAGCTTTCTCAGCTATTTGTAATACAAATCTAGTTTACATTAATTGCAATATATTCCTTTAACATTCGCTTAAACGGCACAATTCTTTCATTCCGCTTTATTTCAGCTGGCAAGGCGTTATACATTTTCACTCCTTTGTAAAACATACTCTTTTGTGCACTTCTTGTTATGATATTTTATTTGACTTGAAATTTTACTTGTCGTGCTTGTCTTTCACTTTAATTTCCCACTATTTCTAATCTATTTCTTAATTGCTCCGGTAACATATTCCTCAAAATCTTAAAAATAAATATACACACATTATAGTATAGCCTCTGTTTTATGGACATAAACTGCAGCGCTTGCAGCATACGCTCCACTTTGGTATGTCTATCACATTACAATATGATCTCATGGTCTGGTTTTGTGCTTTTTGCAATTTACTCAGTTGTATTTTTTCCATATCAATTAACAGCGTCGCACAATACTCAAAGTGAGGCGCTATGATTGTCTTATATACACTACATCTAGTGTATGCCGATATGTAATTACCTATTCTATTCAAAAAAACTCATTTTTTCCCTATTTTCTTTAGCATATAATCACAGTGGTCCTTAAATCGTAGTCTACCGTCAATAATTATGCTTGGGTATTTCATTATTTCCACACGTTCTATCTTAGTTTCATCCAAACATTTTAATATAATATTACCTCGCAGTTCTTTTCTTATACTTCTGACTATCATATATTTCGTTTTCCCTGCATTCATTTTAACTTATTTATATTCATCCACTCTTCTAACATAGAAGCAATATTTTTATATTAATATCAAAAAATTATTACAAAGATAATTTTTGTAACTGTGTAGTATTTTATTGTAATTAGATAATTATTAGTTATACAATTAGTAACATAATTACATTTATGTTTTTGTCACGAAGTACTTTTACTTGAGCATTAAAGTATCTTTGAATCCAAGTTTATTGGCTCTGTAGGCCTTTGAAATGCTGGTTTGGTTCTAACAAGTTCCCATAATTCTTCCTAAGCCTTTAATCATTTAGGATATAGTTATGTAATATGAGCTATATAAAATTGTAGATGTAACACATATATTAAAATTTGTCAATTCCAATACCTGAAATAACACATTATCTTCGCTTTCTAAAGTTAACTTGAACCATTTCCAGTCAAATGTCGCTTGTTATTTGTAAGTATCTAATGGTCCCTTGGGCAAATCCCGTAAATATAGCGAATAGGGAACCCAGCCCCAATGACCTTGACATATGTTGTCAAGGACATAATTCTGAGTAACTTTTTCTTCTAATTTAATCGTCGCTCGTTGCTTATTAAAAAGTTATTAACAAAAAAAGTTTGAAATATACCAAAGTACACGCATAGACAGGAAGCACGCGCGCGTGATTCCTGTCCGTGCATGTACTTTGGTATATTCCAAACTTTTTTTGTTAATAACTTTTTAATAAGCAACGAGCGACGATTAAATTAGAAGAAAAAGTTACTCAGAATTATGTCCTTAACAACATATGTCAAGGTCAAGGTCATTGGGGCTAGGTCTATTATTTTCTGTACTAGTGAATTCTTATGATGACACAGTCTTGTTTAATTCTTCCAAGCGTAAAGTTCTTACTTTTTATTTTATTTTTGAACACCCTATATACGCAAAAACGTGTTTATTTTAGTTTATATGTGTAGTATACGTAGGACTATTTCTGTAAACTAACTTAAATATCCAGTTTTTCATTGTCAGACTATGTATAAATCTTGATTTTTACAAATTTTTGTTTGTTAATAACTTTTTAATAAGCAACGAGCGACGATTAAATTAGAAGAAAAAGTTACTCAGAATTATGTCCTTGATAACATATGTCAAGGTCAAGGTCATTGGGGCTGGGTCCCCTATTCGCTATATTTACCCAAAATTATTTCTGTATTTACAAACTTTACTCTATTTGTTTCTTCATACAAAGGAAGTAAAAGGTAATCAAGAGCCAGCGCGGTAATTTGTGCACATATGTTTTATTACTATCAAATTACATTGATATTTTGATTATGTGATAGACAAAATCACAAAAAGCGTACGTTTCGCTCCCTTTTTTTGGACCATCCCAGCGTAATTACAAAGTATATGGACTATATTATATCAAAAATGTGACAGTAATAATACGCAGAACAAAAGTGAGTCAGATGTTGTCCATGTTGTCAGATGGTAAATATTGTATAATGTAATTTCGAGACAGAAAGAGACAGTCTGATAAAATATATTACATTAAAAAATAACTGGCAATATAATTATACCAAACTTGAGTGAGTCACTCATGTTGTACAGAAGGCAAAAGTTACACACGGATATTAGTTAATTTGATCTATTTATTTCACTAAACTACATGTATAAGTGCACATAAAATTCATGCGAATTTTGTCTATCACAATCAAAATATCAATGTAATTTGATTGTAATAAAACATATGTGCACAAATTACCGCGCTGGCTCTTGATTGCCTTTTATTTCCTTCGTATAATGCATTTTTTGTTTTTATAAATTTGTTCGTATTGTGAATTATATACCGCTAAAATAAACTTCGTGCTTTGCACTGCTCTTTTTATTACCTACATTTATCGTATGATGACGTTAAAGTGAGAAAACGAGCAAAAAATAAAATGTTTTTTGATTCCGATTTACGATACAAACATTCGATTGTATACAAACAATAATTGACACTTTTCGGCTTTGCATATATCTATCTATTAGTTCTCTTACTATCTATTAGATCTTTCTCTTAGGTTTATTGTATGACTTTTGATAGAAATTATAAAACAAATAGAAATTCATCATTATATTTCCGATGTATATTATCATTTCCCAATGCTCCGCTATCTTGCAACCTGGCAGAAATGACTGCAAGGCATACAGTATCAATATGACGAATTGCACCTACAATATAAAGAAAACATTACAAATATATTGTTAACTTGGATCTTTGGTGGATGATGTCTTTTGGGAAATTTTTAAAAGATATAATATATATATATATATATA